AGCACCAGAAATTTGTTAACAGTTGAAACATGGACTCACATTGGATTTGTGTCCATTTGTGTCTGCTCTCAAGTTCAACATGAGAACCAAGGGCCATCCACTGTTAAAACATCAGATTTATTGTATTTTGTTCGTTTGTATCTTCCTTCCCTTCTTCCTTCCACTGATACTACCATAACATGAACAGTTGAAGAGTTATAAAATATCATGTAATTGTTGATGTGTATTTTGGAGTATTATACATTTTGTCCAAATGACCAAATCTATACCCCCAGCCCTCTTTCGGGTCACAACCCACAGTGTGAGAAACACTGTTTCAGCAATAAGGAACTCCATCAGCCCATTGAAACCTGATTTTAAACCTGATTGGAGCAGCTTTTTCTGCATCGTAAGCCTGATGAATGATTTACAGAATCTGTTGAAGAAGTAATAGGAGCTGGCAGGTAAATGTTCTGTATCTTCACAGTTTGTGCTGTTTAACAGTTAACTGCTGACCTGATGTGTCAATGGTTGAGTTTGTCAGTCATTTGAACTCTGAAAACGTCTCATGTGCCTGAGCCCCACTGTAATTGGCCCTCACTAATGACCCACAGTTAAACTTTAATTCGAACGACCCCCTGGACTCTGCTACAAACCACATCACCCCACCCCCCACCCTGCACCCGCTGCCAAAAAAAATACCTTTACTTCTGTATTACATTTCTCTCTCTCTCTCTTTTTCCTCATTCTTCCTTCTTCAGTACTGTAAAGAATACAGTCCACCCACACCTTCATATTCAGATTGCTAGGCACCCACACACACCTTGGTGGACACACCTTTTTGGCTATAATTTATATTCAGTCCAGTCTTTCTGATGTCACTGTTGTATGACTTGCTTCATCATGCAAACGAGGCCAAGGTGAAACTCCCGGTGCCTCGGTCATTCTCTGTCATTTCTAAGACATTCTCTGTATTTCTATCCACCCATCATTCTCTTTAGTACTCATGCTAAGAAGCCTTTCTTCTTCCATTCACGCAGTTGTCAAAGGAGACGGTTTCAACACTCGCTGAAATAAAGAACTGTGCAGACAGCACTCACACTGTTTTTATCTCCATCTCTCTGATTCCTCCTGATCTACTTTTCATCCGTCTGTCTTCTTTGCCTTTTGAATGAGAGGAATCTTTCAGCAGAAACTCTCGTCAGGCTTTTTTTGCTCTCTTGACTGCTCAGGAAGGTGTGTACTGTTTGCTGAAGTATAGCCACGTCAGGAATATGTTACGTACATATTCTGTGTGTCATGTATTTTTATGAATAAAATACACACACACACACAAAGACACACACATTTGCATGCGTTCACACGCATACAGCCACGCATATACTCTCGGATTCAAACAGTTGACATCTAGTGCTGACATGACAGATTACTTACGGCAACCACCCACACCACCACCCCACCCTCCGTGTCAGAATGTTCAAATGTCCTTTCACAGCAAAAACATGAGGAAGTCTTTAGAATCATTTCTGCGAATCTAAGCAAGGCAAAACTATATTGAAGAAAACATTCAGGAAATGTAACTTTATAAGTCATGATTATCTTCAACTCTTTATTTTCTGTGGCAATGTACAATTTTTTTTTCAATTGGTGACCTTACCATGAAATGGTTTCTTTATGAGACAACACCGTGCATGTACCTCAGTCACAATGAAAGAACTATTCATTCAAGGGTCTTTACATTGATTTATTTACTATTGTTGAATAACAGCAAACAGTAATGATATAATATGATTATAATAAAAATATTATTTTTAGTATTTTTTTATAGTATTTTTCTTTTAAACTTGAGTGTAGAATTAAAGTACCTGCTTTTGCTCCACCTTCACTGAGTGTGTATGTGTGTGTGTGTGCAGAGGAGGCTGCCCTCTATGGCGCTCAGTGCCCTGCTGTACCTGTCTCTCATGGAGGTGGACTAACACTCCCAGAGCAGGCAGCCAGACAGTGGAATGCTGTGAAACAACAGTAGCCATATCTACTACATCTGATCAACCTCTGCTTCTCCTTTCAACCACCGTCCATTTGCTTTCAGTCTTGCTTCCTTTTTTTTTCTTACCAGTATGCATTAGTGATGTTTGTCATTGGCTTGATTTGTAGCGCTGTTTAGATACAGTATGTGATACAGTATGTGATACAGTATGTGATTTACCACATCAGAATATAAGCTGATGAAAATGCTATCTGTTGATTGTGTGTAAAATGCAGATACATTTTGGTGATAAGTCAATCCACTTCATCTATTCACGTGTTGAAAAGATGGCCGCCTCTGTAGACATGTAGAAATCATTAGACTGGTTCATCACTTCCCCATAATAAGAAATAAATGGAACTAAAAAGGTTCACATCTGACCTTTTTAGCTTTTTATCATTATACTCCGGCAGCAAGTGCTTTAATAAAGCCATGGCCCATTGACTTATATAGAGAATCAGACATTAAAGAGCATCACAGGGTCAGTGTTTACAGACTACAAGGCTGTAAAAGTTTTCCTTTTTGCTCATAAAACCCATTTCCCCAGTAACCTGCTGTTAACATGTAAAGAATCAGGTGTTTCCAGCCATAAACACAATTTAAAAGGCAATCTCTTTGAAAATGACTGAACCACCATCATATGCTGGCTCTTCTGAAGAACCTTTGTGCTGTTGAACTTTGTCTCACAGACATATGGGCTGCAGTATATAAACCTATGTCTAATGGATAAAAAAAATCGAAGTTATCTAGGTAGTTTTTACACAACTGAAACGCCACCTGTGTAATTTCATACTCTCTGTGAATGAACACGACAAGAGCTGACTTCACTAGAGTTAATCATTTACATGTCACAGCCTCAGACACACACACACACACACACACACACACCCACCTAGGTTTGCACTGCCATTGTTTTGGGGACACTGCAATAACAGCCTCAGTCAATATTTCATCCACAGACTGAAATACTGAAGTAACACAGTAATGCAATGGACATATGCTGGTCCATGAGACTAGTTGAGGTTGAAACAGATCATCATAGTTTCACTTCACTTCTGTCACATTTCCTGATCTTCGCCTAAGAAAGGAAGCCCTCGTGTCAAGAACAGTCAGCACTAAGGAAGTTAGGAATATCTTACAGTTGTCGAAAGCAGGAAGCAGGTTACCCCACACCAAGACTGAAAAGCAAATCTGTCACATGTTCAACAAACAGAAAGTGCCAGAAAATGTCTTTTCATGTGGACTGGAGTGTGTTTAACCCCAGTGTCACATAGCTCCTTTTTTTACAGAGCAGAAACTCACAGTGGATATTGTCCTCCCTTTGTCATTAGTCTGACGAGATAAGGCTGATAGGAGAGTAGTCATGTTAGCACTTCACACGATGGAGAGGAACAGGGGATGTGTGTGGTGCAGAGTTGTCGACGCTGAGGCACAGCCATACACAAATAAGTCATAAAAACCAGACTTAGAAGGAGAAAAGGGAGTGAATGAGGGAAGGGAGGTACTTCTCCTCACGGGTCACGGTTGATTTCTTCATTATGAGTTAATTTATTTTTCCAGTGTTGCCTAGAAGTGTATTTTTATGTTGCCAAAGGTCAAGGTGACCTTTGTCAACATAAAACAGACTGACAGGAGGAAGGACACAGCGTTATCCTGTTTCTACCTCTGTCCTGAGCCTCTTTCTTTTTAATCTGTTTTTATAAAGAACAATAGATGCTCAAAAAAACTTGGTACATTTATACATTCATGACCACACTACATTACTCTACATCTGATATCATCGTGAACCTATTGTAACCACAAAAATGTAGCTTACAAGTGAATGGGTGTGTCTTTGATTATCAGTGTATTAGGTCAGGTCAAATGGGTTTGTGCATTTCAAGGTGGCTTGGATTTGTTGGCTTTGTCTTCCTGTTGACTAATCAGACCTTTTGTATTTGTCCTATTAACATATGTAATCTACATAAAGAAGAAAATGTGTGTTCTATCCATGTGTTGTCTCTGTGTTGTATGCAGTGTGGAGCTTGAGAGATTTAAAATACTTTGGATTTTTCCGTACTGAATACAAGCCGTGTTTAAAAAAAAAAAAAAAAACTAAATAAGAGGTTTATGGTTGGAAAGCCGATTTCTGAATGTCCTCTGTTCAAGGCTGCACCTCTTAATGATGTGGCACACACACACACACACAGCCTTATCTACCTGCAAACTGTATGACTTTCTTATTGATAAGGGAGTTGAAAGTCCAGCGTCTCAACATGAGTGTGTGTTACAGATGTTTGTGTAAAGGTCATTTATATACCAAACCTTTCAGAACGAAGAAGTCAAGTACTAGCTGGAATTGTTGTTTAACTGGAGGTAAACTACATTGGTTTACTTGTTAGCTTCTAAGTTAGCCTAATTAGCCACACAATGTGCATGTGACCCTGCTGTACTCCGTGAACCTTGAGCTGGAGATTTCAGGGTTTTGTGGCACTTCATTCTTCCTGATGGGGGTCATAGGTCAGCATGGGATCTAAGGAACTCAGCAAAACAAGGCTGTAAAACTGCTGATAAGGAAAGACACCATGGGATTTATAGATGTGTGTTGATTGGTTAAGCATGACTGCGCCTGTAAGTTCATCATGATTTTATTTGATCAAGTAGCCATGATGAGGTTTTTCTGTCAAAAAATATAAAAGTGTTTCCAGCCAGCAGGTCTTAGTGGGCTCTAGAGGGATAAACCTGGGCTGCAAATATGGGTTTTATCAGTTATCATTGTGGTCAACTTTTATCCATACGGGTTTAAACAGAGTCTGAATGGGTTTCAGGTCTGTAGGCAAGTTCAATCAGACTAAAGTTTTTTAAATATGCAGGTGAAATACATGTAACCCAAGTGAGACCTCCGTATGAGCTCAGTTGCTTCTCATGTTTCCTTGTTTTCTACCATGGAATTTTTTTTTGTTTTTTGTATTGGCACCTTTGAGTGTATATTAATTAATCCTTTTGTTCTTTCTAGGCCCCAAACCTGATCGGTAGGTTATGCCAGAATGACAGCCGAAGATCCTACTTCCTCTTCAACCATGAGCAACAACTCCGTCCCATCCAAACCCGCCAAGCTGCCCAAACCCGCCCCTGGTGCCTCACAAATCTCTCTACATGGACAGATGAATATCCCTGAGGGTATGGCAGCCGGTTCCAATGAGGCTGCACTGAAAGCATTAGTAGAGCGCAGTGGCTACAGTATGGTCCAGGAAAATGGACAGCGTAAATACGGCCCTCCTCCTGGCTGGAGCGGCCCAGCTCCTCAGCGAGGATGTGAAATTTTTGTGGGTAAAATTCCACGAGATGTCTATGAGGACGAGCTCGTGCCAGTGTTTGAGTCTGTAGGTCGTATTTACGAGATGCGGCTGATGATGGACTTCGATGGGAAGAACCGTGGGTATGCATTTGTAATGTACACAGAGAAACATGAGGCTAAACGTGCAGTGCGTGAGCTTAACAACTATGAGGTGCGACCCGGGCGGCTACTGGGAGTCTGTTCCTCTGTCGACAACTGTCGCCTTTTCATTGGTGGTATTCCAAAGAGCAAAAAGCGTGAGGAGATTCTGGAAGAGGTTTCTAAAGTAACAGAAGGCGTACTGGATGTCATAGTTTATGCCAGCGCCGCAGACAAAATGAAGAACCGTGGCTTTGCCTTTGTAGAGTATGAGTCACATCGTGCAGCTGCCATGGCTCGCAGGAAGCTGATGCCTGGACGTATTCAGCTCTGGGGTCACCAGATTGCAGTAGACTGGGCTGAGCCAGAGATTGATGTGGATGAAGACGTAATGGAGACTGTGAAGATCCTTTATGTCAGGAATCTAATGATGGAGACTAGTGAGGAAACCATTAGACAGGTAGGATTAAGTGATCATAAATATTAGTATTTAACATCAGATTATGGCTTTACATTCACCAAGGCTAAAAACAACCCCATGTTCTCTACCATGTAGGTATTCAGTCAATGGAACCCTGGATGTGTTGAACGTGTGAAGAAAATTCGTGATTACGCCTTCGTCCACTTCACCTCCAGGGACGATGCTGTCCTAGCCATGGACCACCTTAATGGCACAGAGGTGGAAGGGTCGTGCATCGAGGTGACACTCGCCAAGCCGGTGGATAAAGAGCAATATTCACGTCAAAAGGCGTCAAAGGGAGGAGTTCCTGCCACTCCAGAGGCAACTCAGCAGAATTATGTATACCAATGTCAATGTGAGCCCTACACGCTGGCTTACTACGGTTATCCCTACAACACCCTGATTGGACCCAACAGAGACTACTTTGTGAAAGGTTTGAACTTTTGTTTTTGCTTTTGTTCAAGTCAGGATAATGTGTAGAAAACATTTGGTTCGCTAAAAACGTACTTCATTTTAATGTT